GCCAGACGGTCCCAGTGAGCTGAGCAGTTGCATGATAAGAAATTAAGCTTATTTGCGCTCCAGTTTAAGCACCATCAGAGTGTGGAGCCGCACAAATTTGTTGATAGACTCGAAGAGTATGGATACGATTTGGCCCATCCCAAGTTCAGGCAGGCTTTGCCCACAACAACACTCTTTTATAGAATCGCTGATGCGGAGTTCTAGCCAACTTTGGAGTAGCCGCCATGAAAACTGGTGCCAATTCGAAGACGAATAGTCTACGAAATATACTCCTGTCTTGAGTTTGACACAATGAACATGAACCAGCCTCTTCATGCAGGACAATTTTTGCCAAAAATCATTCACTCGTTTTGCCGTAAAGTAAGCGCCCATGTCTGCTTAACGGTGGCCCTAAAGCCACAGTGAAGACTTTCATTTTGTATCAAACTGTATCAGTAAGAGATTCGCAGGTCGAGCCCTCCCCTTGATTCTTGTTGCTATGAGACTGTTTGCCTTTAATACATCGCTCAGGTTGACACAGTTCATGAGGCATCCTGCCGCGTTGCGGCTGAGACTGGACAGACATCGCCAGAGCTGGAATTCATTCTTTTGAAAAGCGTAAACTAAAACCAATCACGAAAACTATCCTACACGCTGCATGTACTCGGAGCTGAAAACCAAACTATGCCAACATAATTGGATAATGAATAAGTTGGTTACTTCTCTTTCATAATAATCAGAGTAACTATATTTGGTGTCAGTGTGCTAACGCCTGTACGCATGTAAGCCAGAGTGCGCGATTACAAAAGAGTATCACGTCTGCCTCAAATAATCAGGGCTTAATGACCAAGGAAGAAGCATGGCTGAGATTGTATATGCCCGAAAGAAGCTCTGGTTGAGAATATGTGAATTGTATTAAATGATAACTTATGGCTCTAACGGTGGGATTGGAGTGACAAGAAGGTTCGCCGAAGATTGCTTCGTACAAATCCAGAGTCCCAACTGCAAAGCAACTGTCCTTCGGTTTCCAGTGGAGCCGAGCTAAAAATCTCTTCTGCCCTACCTTCTCTTCAACAGGAAGAATGCGCTGGAATGGGTTGAGAGATCTCATAGTTCCTTTTAAGTGGCTCGCTTGGATCATCACCTTTTCTACAAAAGACTCCTTTTTTCATTTGCATGATGCCGAAGATGAGCTAACAGACAAGAAAGCTACAGGGACAAATGAATGGCCAGACAAGCGGGTGCTCACCTCTCGTTTGTGTTCTGATCAGGCCCATTGGAAATGGCTCGATCTCGCTGACGTCGGTTTTTGAACCAGTTCGAGACTTGGGTGGTCGTCAGGCCAGTAACTTCGGCCAGTTCCCGTTTTTCCCGCGGAGTCGGGTATGTGTTTCGAGCATACCAATTGCGAAGCACATGCCTCGATTTTTCCTGAACATGAAAATAAAAACAAAAGATGCAAAAAACAAAGCAAGAGTTAAAGAGAACAATAAGCAGAGGGCTCGTGGGAGGGTGGAGAAGGATGAGAACAAGTAACCTGAGTCGCCTTGGCAATTGTCTGAGGTGGGCTGGTCTCTTAAAAGTTTTTCCAATCTCATACGTGGGACCTGCTGGTTGAGGCTCTTGAGTCTTGATGTGATCTACAGAGATTAACTTTATTCGTAACTAAGATACAAAGATCCACAGGAATCACACTTTCTAGCCCATGCATATCACATTTGAATCTAGCCATTTGTGTGAGTTTACCGCTCCTATTCGCCGTCAAAACTTCGTTGCTCATTCTTCTGTGGAATGCCGTTTGATGGGAATGTCAAATACGAGGGAAGAAAGTCGTATGTAGTCGCCAAACGCAGTGGATTTAACTGTCGTCCAGAGCAAGATGGCTCTCGGCAAACTCTTTTTATTCCCGTGTCTGTGGCCTAGGGGATGATAGGGAGAGAGAAAAAGTGGTATTCTACCCGAACTGGTTCGCGCAGATATGAACCGTACATCGAAACAACGAGACAAAACGAGAGAATTAAGCTCCCGCTCAAACCGTTTACGGGGGTACATCAAGCGGAAACTAACTTGTTCAACCGACGAATTACACCGTCAGGTAAGAAAATGCTGGATTTTGTCATTTACTCTCGCATTTCCACGACTCTACATTTCATTTCGAAGCAAAACTTGGGTGCATTAACCTCACCGGAAACGGAAGGAGGATGGCCTTAATGTGGAGACTGTTGGATTGCACGAATAAATCCCAAACTCAATGTCCCGCCATCCAGACGAATCCGTGCTGAGTTTTCCTGTATCATGTGATGACGACTGTCGGAATAAGGAATCAAGCTTTAGAAAAGAAACCACCAATATACTCAAAAAAGATAAAAGTTGATCCATGACAAACCTACTCATTTTGCTATCTTAAAGAGGCGCAAGCCATGATTTGGTGGGCGACTTCATGCCTGCAACGGAGTCTGGCCGAGCCAGGAAGAGGCACTGAAGGCGGTCACAGCTGCCTCCTTGCGAAAATAACTTCCAATTTGATCTTATGATATGGAATATGGCGGTATGTGTTTTAATTGTATACATTGTTCAACTATTATGCGAGATGAGGAGGTCATAAGCAGATTCGAGTCTTCTTCCTGCTGATCAGATAGCCACAAATGTTCTCTAATCAGACAAACTGTGAAGTATAAACTCGGCAAAAATAAGGTTTATGCGGCTAGCGGGTGCAAA